TAGCACCAAAGCTTTTAGAGCTCTCCAGCTGTCACCTGGAGACTGGCAACAGCTTGTCTGGATGGTGGGCAGTATGGCATTGTATCTGTCTGAGGTCCCCCTCTTCCTCCTCCTCCTCAGACCCCACCCTCAGCAGGCTTCAACCCTATGTCCTTTCCAGGCAACCATCAGCCAACCTTTATCTGCCTGTCTGTCTTCAGGTTTACATTCCCCCCCCCCACAGCCTCTGCCTAGGGAAAGGGCAGTCTTTCCCTGCAGTGGGAACCAAAGCAGCTGACATCATTCTCCTCTCCCCCGTATGATCCGCACAACTACCCTATGAGGTATGTTATGGTTGAAAGTGTGTGAATGGTCCATAGTCCCCCAGGCAGCTTTTAAAACATGAACCTGGGACCTGCACACCATCTGTGGCAGTAATGGGGTGACTGCTGGCACCTTTTCCTATCTTTTTTTGCCTTGAGGTATTTTGCTTGTGGTGTGATCTGTCTTCTTTGTGGTGTGGCGTGATTGTGTTATTGGGTTTGTTTCTTTTAAAGGGGAAGTCATGTGTTGTGAGTGAGGACATGTTACCTCAGAATACAGTAGTTCCCATATGCAACTGAAAATTCCAACTGCCTTGCGGGGGGGGGGGAGTTTGAGGTGTGGAATGGAGTGAAGTCCAATCAGCTTCCATATGCAAAAGACCTTGAAACGCTGGGCAGGACTGCACAAAGCAGCCAGTCAACCCAGCCAGTGTCTTCTGAGTGGCAGTTTTTCCGGCCAAACACGAAAGGCGGGCATTTTAGAACGTTGGTCCCCACTACTGCTTTATTATAAGGGAGAGATATTTAACCATATCATATAAACACAAATTATTTCTTATATATTTTGCTTCTTCCAAAAAAAAAATATTTTACAATATTTTTACAACTGGTAGGGATATCATGTGTATTGTGAATTAATACAAACAAGGTAAATCCAAAAAATAGGATTATGATGTTTCAAAACACGTTTCCTTCTCCTCACTGGAAAGTCCTCCAACAATTTAGAACAGGTTATAAACAACAACAAAAGCACTCTGGTGTCACCAGATGGCTCTTTATGCCAGAGGAAAGCCCTGCCATTCATGGAACAGATCAAGAGACTGAGAGCTAACACTTCACATAATGGAAAATATTCAACACAACATTCATGTAACTCTAAACAAAAGTTAACCCCAGCCATTAACACAACCACTGGATAACACACATTAGAGCAGGGGAGTCTTCTAGAAGAGCCATCACGTAGGCAGTAAACAAAATTATATTAAGTTTGAACGCACAACAACTTCAAGTGCCAACTCCAGTTTCACAGATTTAGAATCAAAAGTTGTTTTCAGACAGTCACCAAGTTAAGTTATTGTACACAAATACATGCCTGCAGAAACTAATACACATTTCCTCATTTCCTTAAACAATAACAATATCTTAGTCATATTTGCAACAAAAAAGCCCCATAAAATTTACACTTCTGCCAGGCCCTTTTGAATTAGAGAGCTTTTCTTTTATTCAAATGATTCATGACTTTATTTAACGAAAAACCCACTAAGGTTGAAGAACTGCGAGCTATGAATTTTGCCAGGTTTCCACCAGCTCTCTTATCAGCAACTGAAAGAGCTCCCACAGACAGATTAATGAAGAGCTATTCAATACCCACAAATAGGATCTCAGGAACTCAAGGAGTCTGTGGTGGGCACAAAGGACCCCTTTCTGCTAAATTCCTTCCCTTCCATCTTCTATCAGGAGCCCCTTAAAGCAAGGAAGGAGAACTCACAGACAGAAGCCATTATGCCATTTCTCCTGCAGAGCGGCAAAGTGGGGACTATCTGGGCTGCTCCTCCAGGCTTTGATGGGCAGGTGACAGAAGAACTATGAGTCACCTCTTGGGGACACAGCTCACCTCCTCAAGCAGAACACCAACCCTAAACTTTGGACTACTTGCCAAATGAGGCAGAGCTAAAAAAATTCAACTTTGTCAAGTACTAGAACTGCGGTTATCAATTAGCAATGATTTGCTTAAATACTTTTACCTTGTTTGACCATTTGTAGGCCTGAAGTAGCTGACTGTAGAGAGGAGTTTTGTCTTGCACAGGATCGAGACTCAACAATCCACTGTTGTGGAGAGGATGGTTCTCAGACGGCTTGCCAACGAGGTTGCTCAGACGCTCCAGTTCTCTACAAGAAGAAAAATATTGCTATTTAATGATGTTATTTAAAGAGAGCATGTTTTGTCAGCCTAGCCAGGGTATAAAAAGAAATGCATTTACTGTATTCCAGCAACAAAAACAGTAGCAGACCCCAATAAGCATACTGAAATCTAGTAACAGTTTCCAGCTCTTACAACTGCAGAGAAAATCTGAAAACATATTGGGAAACACAAGCAAGATTTGGAAACAATGACAACAGCTAAGAAACCTTTCCAATTCCTTTACTGTCAATCCATACATTCAAAGTTTTTATTACTGTTTTTACAAATGTTAACAATAATGCTCAGGTTATATATGCTTTTGTAATAGGTACCAGTGTCCGTACAAAAGGCAGGTTATAAATGCTCTAAATAGTCTCATATACAGGATCTTTCAGAGTTATTATTTTTTTCTTATTACACTGGTATTTCACCTTTTCTCCAAAGTTTCAGAATGACCTACAGGGGGTTATTCCATTTTTTTTCTTTCACAACAACCTTCTTAGGTAGGGTTAACTGAGAGCTAATAACCTCCTCAAGACCACTCAGCGAGTTTCATAGCTAAGCAGAGGTTTGAATCCCAATCCAAGTACTTTCACATCTTTACATCATACCTGCTCTCACATCACTGTTCTCTTTTTCTGTTAGTTTGTGAACTAACTACAAGTTTACTTGCATTAAAGGAAACAGGGAGCAGCTGTGGAATATTTCCACATGACTTCCCCAAGCATGGATCTATTGGGAGAAAAGTTACTAAAATGTCTGTGACCTAATGAGTCAGATAACTTGAAAATGAAATTAGGCATGTGCATTTGGTAAATCCGAGCCAGAAAACCCCCCCAAAAAAGTATTTTGGGATTTTTTTCGGCTTTTCGGAATCCAAAAAGGCTTCCCTGAGCTTTTTTCGGATCCTGAAAAAAAAACCTGAAAAAACGCAAAATTTTTCATCCCCCCCCCCCGGATTTTTTCAGATTTACCGAAAAATGGCGGCGGGGGGGATTTAAACTTTAAAGGGCTCCGCTAAACTTGCTTTTCCCGCCATTTTCCCCTCCTTCCCACCTCTTGCTCTGGTTTCCAGGAGGGAGGGGGAAAGAGGGACCATGCAGACAGCCAATCACTGCAATGCATTTCCAAGTGCATTGCAGCTTACAACTTTTTGCAAGAGAAGAGAAGAGAGAAGAGATTGGATTTATACCCCGCCCTTCACTTGGAGTCTCAGAGCGGCTTACAAAGTCCTTTCCCTTCCCCTCCCCACAACAGACACCCTGTGAGGTAGGTGGGGCTGAGAGAACTCTGACACAAACTGCTCTTTTTCAAGGACAGCTGTGCCAGAGCTTGTGATTGACCCAAGGTCACATCAGCAGGTGCAAGTGGAGGAGTGGGGAATCAAACCCGGTTCAACAAGGCTGTCGTTACTGCTGGCTTCAGTTGTTGAAGCCCAACTACTAGCTTGCTCCTTTCCCAGGGTAGGAGCACTGGCCAATAGGATTTTGGCATTCTGCTCTCTGGCCAATCACAGAAGTTTGTTCCTTTTTGAAATCCTTCTGTGTATGCCCAGAGAACAAAAAAACAGACTCTCTGGCTGGCTGACTCCATTCCTGTTCCTACTGCTGCTGCTGAGAGAGAGCCTGGCTTGGAGATTGTGTGTGGCCGGCTTCTGCTTCAGCCCCTGTTCCTTGAGCCTGCTTTCCTCCCTCCTGCTGCCTGCTGCCTGAGCTGACTTGGACTACCTCAGATCAAGATTGGTTTGATTTATATTAGGGCCTCTTTTAAAAACTTCTATTTCTTGTGGGTTGAGGCCTAGGGTTGGTGTGGTGGTGGTGGGTACCTCTCAGGCCTCTTCCTGGGTTTTTTTTTTGGGGGGGGGGATTCTCTTCTTTTAGATTGTGGTTTAGCCATCCTGTTGTTTTTGCATTTTCTTCTTCTTTTTTTAACTATGATTGATATTTTATTTCTTGGCTTGTTGGAGCTTTTTTTTTTTGGGGGGGGGGGGTTACTGGTTGGCCTTCTGCCTGGGGTGTATGCTCGCTCTCTGTTTTTGGCTCTTGTGTTTTGGTTCTGTTGACTTTGCAGTTTAAATTTTTTAAGTTCTTGTATTTTCTGGGCTTGTTTTTTTTTGGGGGGGGTTACTGACTAGGCCTTCTGCCTGGGGGGGGCTAGGCTCTCTTTTTTTGGTTCTTGTCCCTTGTGGTTCTGTTGCCTTTAAATTCCTTTTATTGTTTTCTGGGTTAGTGGTGTTTTTTTTTAGGGGAGGTGTTACTGACTAGGCCTTCTACCTGGACCTGGGCTCTCTCTGTTGCCTTTTAGTAGTTCTGTTTCTGTGCCTTTAACAGGTTTTAAGTTGTTATATTTTTGTGGACTTTTGGCTTTCTTAGGCATGGGGGGTCAGTGCTCTGTGTGTGCTTCTGATTTAGCTGTTGCACCACTGTTAAATAGACTTTTAATAAAGGTTTCAGGTATTTTGAACTAATATTTTTAAATATATCTCAGCATAGGGCTTTAGCTGTTCTACCTTTAACTAGGCCAGTGCTAGGAGAACAAAAAGAGAACAGGTTTGTCTTCAGTAGAGATGTAAAATTTCTGGAAATTTTGAAGCTCGGAAAAAAACCCGTTTTTTCCCCAGTTTTTTCCGGGGGAAATGGAAATTTTCGGGAAAATTGAAAAAAATGCTACATTAGCATTTCTTTTGTCTTTTCTAGATTGAAAATCATTCTGTTACTTTAAAGGTAAAGGTAAAGGTTCCCTTGCTCGAAAGCCAGTCGAATCCGACTCTAGGGTTGCGGTGCTCATCTCCGTTACAAAGCCGAAGAGCCAGCGCTGTCCGAAGACGTTTCCGTGGTCATGTGGCCGGCATGACTAAACACCAAGGCGCACGGAACGCTGTTACCTTCCCACCGAAGTGGTCCCTATTTATCTACTTGCAATTTCTTGCTTTCGAACTGCTAGGTTGGCAGGAGCTGGAACTAGAGACAGGAGCTCACCCTGTCTTGCGGCACCCGGGTCTTGAACCGCTGAACATTTTGAAGCAAAAAACCCGGTTTTTTTCCATTTTTTGGGGGGGGGAAACGGAAATTTTCAGAAAAATTGAAGAAAATGCTACATTAGCATTTCTTTTGTCTTTTCTAGATTGAAAGTCATTCTGTTACTTTAGGAACATAAAATATGACTATGGACATTTTTACTTGGCATGAAATTATCACAACTAGCATATTAAAAATATAGTGTATCCAAACAGTTATTACAAACAGAATACCCACCCACATGCAAAAACAAAACTGAAAAGTTTTCTATTTTCTTCTGACAACAGCACCTCCTAAAGGAAGAAATGCATCTTGTTCTTGCATTAGAGAGTTCAGTTTGTAACCTAGGACTTGCTTGTCCTCAGTGCACAGAAATTAGATCAATCTGATACCATATATATATATATTTAGAAACGATTTGGAAAATATTTGAACACCTTGCCTTAAAATATTTTATTCATCATGTTAAAATAAAACATTCCATAATCAATTTTTTTCTTTTCTTTTTTCTATTTTTCCAATTTTTCGGAAAAAAACAAAAAAGGCTTCAGGAAAAGAACGTGAAAAAAACGTTTTTCCCCCAAAATTTTCCGGATTTTTTACGGGCCTTCACATCTCTAGTCTTCAGTTCATAAAACAGAACAATAAGTAGCATATAACTTTTTAAAAAGTATTGTGCTGTGTTGTTTGTGCTCTGACTGAACTTTGCTGAAGCCCGGCACTTTTTTCAGATAATTTTTTCCCCTTTAGCTTGTGTGTTTGAATTAGGGAGCACATGACGGAGTGAGCTCCCGTCTCTAGTTCCAGCTCCTGCCAACCTAGCAGTTTGAAAGCAAGAAATTGCAAGTAGATAAATAGGTACCACTTTGGTCGGAAGGTCACAGTGTTCCGTGCGCCTTGGTGTTTAGTCATGCCGGCCACATGACCACGGAAACGTCTTCGGACAGCGCTGGCTCTTTGGCTTTGAAACGGAGATGAGCACCGCAACCCTAGAGTCGGATTTGACTGGCTTTCGAGCAAGGGAAACCTTTACCTTTACATTCCTTCACAGGGAATCAGGCTGGTTCCATTAGAATCTAGATAGGGGTAGTTTAAAACCCTAAAACTTTTTAAATGGTTTTCAAGCCACATCTCAAAGACAGTCTTTAAACCATAGTCAAGGTTACTGTAGGAATTCACTAGTTATAACAAACAAACCAAGAAAAAAAAAAAGAGAAAGCCCCAAACTGAAGCAAGGCTAGGTTAGGCTCTATTGAAAGAAACAAAAACCTAGTTTTTGGGTAGGAGGGTTTATAAAAAGGTGTGAGGCTGCTTTATGGTCAGGCAGGGGTCGTTTCGTAGAAAAAGAGCTAGGGGAACTCATTAGCATAACTCATTAGCATATGCCACACCCCCTGACATCACCGGAAGTGTGTCATAAGGCCACACACCCTGCCCCCAACGGTCCCAGCCGGCGGCGGCGGCCTTGCAGCTCCACTGCCGAGCCCCATGAGGGGCCCAGCGGTGGACCTGCAAGGCCGGCGGGAGTGCAAGGAAGCCCCGCGATGGCCCTCCCTGGCCCCAGGCAGGCAGGGGTGGAGAGAGGCAGGGAGGAAGCAACTTACCCTCCCTCTTCTCCTGCCTCCTCCTGGCTGAATGAGGGCCGGAAGCGGGGCGGCCGGAAGCAGGGGGCGGGGCTTCGTCATGTGCCCCGCCCCCCGTACCTCACCCAGGGGAACTGCGATCCCCCGCGATCCCACCCGAAATGACCTCTGGGGTCAGGTGATAGTGCAGGTAAGTTAGGTGCCTAACACCCTCCCCACAAGTTAGGCTCAGTTCGGTCAGGGGCAACATGAGCAACAGGAAGGGAACGCAGAGGGGCCCTGGGGGCAAGGCTAGACAGAAGACTAGAGGGGTGGAGGGGAGGGGGAGTGCTGCGATCCCCCCCCACCTCAGCACAGGACCACAGCAGAACATCCTGGCACCACTCC